GGAACACAGGGACCCCACAGCAACAGGGACCAGGGTAACTCCAGGCTGTAAGGCCAGACCCCTCCACGTGGCTGCTGGTGCCTGCTGGGAGTGACCCAGCTTTCCCAGCACTGGAGAGGGAGCAGCTTGGTTCTTGCACAGAGTTGAGGAGACTGAGACAGATGCAAGCCATCACCAGTGACCAGCACACTCCTCACAGTCCATCTGCAGTGGGTCAGTCACATCATTACCTGCTCCCAGTCCTCTCAGTAATCTCTAGATTACTGAGTCCCTAGGCACATCTATTCTCTCATTAATCTGTAGATTAAAGTACCCCCAAATCGGCTTTGACGCAGAGCACTGAAAACAGTTGAGTTATGCAGAGATCCCGAATTAGGCAGAGGGAGACATCTCTGTGGGTCCTTCCCTGGGGGGGCACAGGCTCAGGAAGAGGAAGGCATGTCCAAACACAGTACGTGTGTATAAATAAAAAGCAGAGAGGATGGGACTCTTGTTTTGTAACCAAAGCAGTCACGTGATAAAACAACTTCACAGAGGTCCCCGGATTAATTAAATCTCAATCCAGATGATCTCCAAGCAATTTGCATCGTTTGCAACGACAGAAATACCCGACAGCTCTTGCCCTAACCTAGCACTGAGAAATGCTTCACTTGGTGCTTTCCTGGAGACTACATACAGATTTTTTTAAAAAGCAACCACCATACCACAGAGAGCTCAAGGCAAAGCTTCCCTTGCATCAGGGCCCCCTCCTGCAGCACGATTGGCAGGGCAGGATATAGGCAGGATGGGAAAAATGACTGAGAGGTGGACAGAGAGTTACAGTGGGAGTAACAAGATTAAATCACAAAAAGGAAATAAAGGCTTAGTGGTAGATTTCTCAACAGCAAAACCTATTTGGTTTGGGAAACACTCCCTCAGGAGATCAAAGATTTGCAGGGGCATTAGCCAGACCCGGGAAAGGGTGCGGGGAGCAGCCATGCAGTGGCCCACGAGTGGCTGCGAGGTGCCATGACTGTCCTGCCCAGCAGGAGGGCACGGGACATCCTCAAGGCCATGCAGCCCCAGCCGGGTCAGCTCCGTGCTCACAGGGGAGAAGGTTCCCTTGGCAGAGCCATTGGGAACCAGGAACATCCCTCAGGGGGTGCCAGGATGGCCCTCCACAGTGGCCCCACACCATGGCCTTGGGACATGAGTACTCCCCAAGGATCCTCCTCCAGCAGCACAACCACCTGGCCATGCCCACCTCCCCATGAAGCCCAGGTGAGAGCACTCCTCCTCTCCGTGCCACGCTGGCAATCGTGGGTGCCAGGGCTGGACCATGCCCGTGCTGCCCACAGCCACTGCTGGGCCTGGGACATGCACAGTGTGTTAATGCACACGCCCCAGAACGCACGCTCCTCTCCGAGACTCCTGCCAGAGCCTCCCCAGAGCAGGTCCCTGGGGGTGCAGGGTGCCCATCATGCCCTGGAAGAGTTCCTGTCTGTTGCATCACAACAATGCCGGCAGGAAGGGCTCTGTCTCCGTGTCTCCACGTCTTTGTGCAAAAGGGTGACTCTGCCCAGCTGTTGTGGGGCCAAGGCCTGTGGGCTCTCCACACCAAGCCCAGGACATCCAGCAGCATCAGGCGGGAGCAGGGACAAGGCTGGAGAGGTGAATTCCATCCCAACAGCCGGGTGCCTGTGAGGAGATGGGCTGTGCTCCTGACTGAGCTCACAGATGTAGCACAGGACAGGCAGCGCCAGCCTGGCCCTGCCCCAGGAGGGACCCACAGCCCCCAGGCCAGCCTGGTGCTCGGAATCCTTCCCTCGTCAGAGGATACCTGCAGCAGGGCAGGTGTGCACAGACATGGAGGACCAATACGAGGCATTGTCCCACTGGGATGAACCAGGACTGAGCTCCTGTCCCACCTGAAGCTGCTGAGCACACGGGCTGGGTAGGGCTCAGGGCAGGGCTCACGGAAAGGATCATTCATGTCATTCCTCTCTTGTTTGGAGGTATTTACCCAACCATCAGCTGCTGCAAGAGCTCTGAGACATGCCAGGTGAACAGCACTGCTGCACACCCACAGCCTGACGGAGACGGGCGTTTTGGGTCCAGCTGCTGAAACGGACCAGCTTGTGGAAGGGGGCAGGAAGGACCCTTGAGGCCATATCTGCAACAAGCACAACTAGAAGTGGAAGCTGCTCCAAAGGTTGTTTGTATTCAAATGTCTCAATTTGTCCTACTTTTGTCTGGGCACTGAGCAGAATTGTCAATGAAAATGGATTTATGCAAAGCAAGAACAAATCAAGCATATTTTCTGAACATTTTTCATGGGAGATCTGCTGCTCTGCAGGAGTGCTCTGAGATCTGAGCTGGCATTGCCCTGGAACCCGCTCACCCTGCCCCCTGTGCCCGGCGGACCTTGTGACACGGCTGGGGATGTGGGCTGCACCTCAGCACCTCCCTGGCAACCCGCGTCCATTTCGCACAAGAGCCCGTTTCTTCTCAGCAATACTCTGAGCTGCACAAGAACAAGGCATTCAAATGTGCATTTGTGAAATACCATCCTCACCCCATATTTGCATGAAAATACCAGACCTATTTAAGTGACAACGACACTTCACTAAATGCGAATTACATAACCTGGCTCTTTCCCTCAGCTGACACACCAGAGACACCTTCATTTCCAAAGCAAGTCTGCACTTGCTGCACAGCATTTGGAAGTATTTTCTTCTTTCTCAACTAGATACCACAGTGTTTCAGGCATACGCTGCTTTCACACGTAGAAAAAAATAAAACTGAACTGATTTTTTTATCTTATCAGAATCCACCATTTCGAAGTGCAGTCAGCCTCCCTCTAGCAGCACCATTGCATGGAGTCGGGACTTCTATACAGTGTGAAGAAAAACTCCCGGCTGATACACAGCCATTAAATCCCCTGCTGTACTTCCCCCCTGCCCTGCCACCGCAGCAAGGATCACACTGGCTGACTCAGTCATCTACTGCACAAATGTCTCTGTTTCATTTCTACTGAGAGGATTGCTACGGTTCCCTAGTACGACGCACAAGGTTCTTCTGAAAACGCCAGCATACAGCCACAGACTACAGACAAACTGGATCTAACCACTGGAAATCCCCAGCCTTCCCAGTGTCACCGGCAGAAACCACTGCAGGCTCATCTCAACCCTCCACCCTTCCCCACCAGGAAACCTGAGTTCTCAGCAGGTCACAACAAGGTAGCCATAGCCCGATTTTACATTCGCTGGCTGTTGCAGTTGCTTTTTAGAACGCAGCAACAGCAAATTCATCCTTCCTAGAGAAGAGAAAATGGTGATGTGAGCCAGACAACTGGGAGGTGTGGGAGCTCAGTCCCATCCTGGCACCCTCTTGGAAGCCCTGGCTCGCACCACCTCTCTCAGCAGAAATGTCCCATCAGCGTGGTGTGGCCTCTACAGGTCCATCACTCAGCCCCCACGGCAGGTCAGCCCACTCCCCAGCCCCACAGTGCACTCAGCAGCTGGCCCCACAGCAAGTCCTGCTGGGCCCCAGGCCTGCAGTGTGAAACAGCCAAGGAGAGCAGCAGAGCCAGGGATTCCCCAGGACAATCCCACCCCGGCACCTGCCGGCTCTCATGCTGAGCACTCGCATTCCAGCTACACACAAGCAACACCAACCACCATTTCTTACGCTCACCAGGTATCCAAAGCTTTCCATTACTACATCAAGCCGAAGATTTCCCACTAGCTAAACCCTCCTTTAGCCATGTGACAAAATTCCCAAAGTCTGGCTTCCTCTGAGTCTGAGGATGACACAGTAGGGGAAAGCCTCTTTGGCTACTCATTAAGCTATGAAAAAGCCCGCTCAGACTCTGGTATGGAGTCCGGTTTTTGAAGCCTCGTCGAAGGTGTCAGTGCTACCAGAAAGGGTGGGGGGGGGTTCAGTTTTGCTTTACATCAGCTGCACTTCCCTCCTGAAGCGAGAGAGCAAAGGGAGGTTGTGACAGAGCTGATGTGAAGTTGACAGCCGTTCAGCTACCGGGGAGGACAGCAGAGGCAACAGCAGTTCCATCCCCATCCCTCCTTCACCCCTCACTGGTGGAGCTGCCTTTGTGGTGGCTGCAGCATCATGTGCAGGCTGAGCTCATGTCCTGATGCCTGAACTGAACATGGCCACACCATCTTCTCTGCTCTTGAGCCGTTACAGGAAACCACTTTCAAATGCACCACGAGCCTCACCGGGGCTGTGACATTATCTATGTCCAACAGCCTTGGCATATCCTTGCATCTGCAACGCCGTCAGAATTCATACACCTTCCTGAAGCAGCTTGTAGTGAAAATAGCCCCGAGACAACTGTTCCACTGACGAGACCTGCACCAGCGTTTGCAGTATTCCCGCACCCCACCGCGCGGCTTCAGCCACCTGCAGCACCTCGAAAGCCCTCAGGGGCTGAGGAAACCGATCCTGAACCGCTGCCACCTCCCGCATCCCTCTGGCTCCGACGAGCTCCGCATCCCTCCGGCCCCGCGGGCTCCGCTCCAGCGGGGAAGGGCTTGCGGAGGGGTCGGGACTCCCGTTTCTCCCGGAGCCGGAGGAGCGGAGGCTCAGGGGCTCCTGGAGCAGCCCGGCATGGCTGGGGGCTCCGCTACAGGGCGGGAACGCGAGGCTTCGGCCGCCCCGGGGCGGGAGATGGGGGCGGCCGCGTCCAGGGCGCTGCTGCGGGCGGCTCTCGGTGTCCCGGCTCCGCCGTCTCCGCCGCGCTGAGGGACCGGCCCGGCCCAGGGGAGCCCACCCAGCGACACCCGGCGCTGCTGAGTCACCGGAGCGGCACCGCCGCGCCCGCACCGAGCCCCCGGGGCCGCCGCCCTGGGGCTGAGCAGCTCGGGCGGGGCAGCGCTGCCGGTCCCGGGACAGCGGCGGAGGGCGCGGGGCGATGAGCGGCGGTGCGGGCGGGGGGCCGGGGCCGCTGCGGTGCGGCCTCACCTGCTGCGGGCGGGCCGGGGGCTGCGGGCCGGGCTCACCTTCCGTGGCATAGCTGTGGTCTCGCAGGAAACTGCTGCTGATCTTACGGGTCTCAGCGTCCTCCTCCATTGACGGCGGGCAGGCGGGCGCGGGGCGTCAGCAGCCGCAGCCGCGGATCCATCATCCCCCCCCGCGCCCTGCTCCGCGGCGGCGGCCGCCAAATGCGGCGGGGGGGGGGGGGGGGGGGGG